GAACCCCGATTTCTGGTACTTACCCTCAGAGGTCGCCATTATCTTGATTAGGCTGGCAGCAGTGACCACGCTAGGAAGAGAAGCAGGAATCTGGAAAAAAGGAGAGATCGGTGAGGATCACTGGAGCTGAGAAAGGAGTTGCTGCCCACAGACACGCCCCCTTACTGAGGCCGCGTATCCCTGCACCCCTGCTCGCGCACGTCTAACACGACAACAACGGCGGAACAGTTAGACTTCGCTGGGGGGGAGGGGGACACGCTTCCCAGGAGATTTCCCGCCGCGCAGGCGCAGCGACGCTACCCCGCCTCTGGACAGTCCCCCGGCCTGCGCGAGCGCTGTTCTAGGAAAGGCAAGCGTGGTGCCCCCTGGCGAACCCTCCCTACTCTACAGAAGCTCGCAGGCCGTGGCTTCTTTCTGTAGCTATGCAGGTTCATAGGTTGGAGCGTACCAAGTGGAGACTACTGGGGGAAAATATGTGAGGAGGGCCACACTAAGTGTACATCCGCTGTGACAGGAGTTACGTAACTGTTATTCTCATCACCTCGGCTTTGGGTGGAAAATAACGGAGAATCCCACACGCAGGGAATTCAGCTGTCCGCACGTCTTCACTGGAGGACTAGCCCCACCCGCTCCACCTCTCGGTCCGCCCCCGGTACCTCCCCCTTCGCGTTCGCTCATTGGTGGGCCAGGATTGGGGCGGGGGGCTGGTGGGAAGTTAATCATGCTCGGTTATTGAAAGCACGCGCCGCCGCAGTAGCTGGGGTCGAGCCGCCGGGAAGGAAGCAGTTATCTCTAGCGTCTGGGGCGTCAGGGCCGAGCAGGCAGCTGGTTGGCGCTAGGACGTCGGTTGCAGCGGCAGGTCCCACCACGTGCTTTCGGCGGCGACATGGAGCTGGAGGAATTGGGGATACGAGAGGAATGCGGTGTGTTCGGCTGCATCGCCTCAGGAGAGTGGCCCACGCAGCTAGATGTGCCGCATGTGATCACCCTGGGACTCGTGGGGCTGCAGCACAGGTGAGCAATGGAGTAGGAGCTGGGGGCCGAGCGGCTGACGGGTGGGGGTGGCGGCGTGTTTGCTTCTACATCTGTTCAAGTCCTGCGGCTGGAGTTGGCGACCTCGCGCGCGCCTGATGGCGGGAAGGCCTGACCTCTGCTTACCTGGACCGATCGATACCTTCCGGTGATATCCATCAAGTTGCCAGGCATGTGCGAGGACCTCCTTGCCTCTCTGGACTTTAACCTGACCCCTGGTGATGTTTAGGGGCTCACTCCCCGGTCTGTGTTCCCCTGGTGAACCTGGCCAGTCTTGTAAGGCTCCGGTTTGCTTGGGCTGGCCAGGACAGGGCCCCTCCCCGACAGTTCTAATCTCCCAGAGCCTGGAGCGGCTCTCGTGATAGGCTTGTGTAGGCTTGCGGCTGGTCCAGGTCCTACAACACTTTGAGGTGTGCACTCGGGGCCTCCAGTCACCACAGGCTTTTGTTTGCAGGGGCATAGTTTTTGAACCGGATTGTGGATTTTGAAGGCAGTTATTGCTGTGGGAACTTAGGAATCATAGAGTGCAGACCCGAGGGAACAGGACTAGTTGGTAGTAGCAGTAGTAGACAGTGTAAATTAATTGAAAACAAACCAATCACAGGGAATAAAGCATCTGGAAAACATTCATGAGTAAATGTTTTAGTTAATGAATGAAAACGTTGGTAGTAGGAAGATGCCAAAAATCATCTTCCTTCTTTAAAAAAGGGAAAAGGGGAGTAGTCCTCCTATATTAAGATACATACAGATTTTGAAAAATGGAGGGGGCAGGGGGGACTTACTGTTTAAAAATAACATTGCATCCATGGTCATTTCCATTTCTTACAAACCTGCCCTAACTGGAAGTTAATATAAACAATTGCCTTAAGTTGCCAGGTAAGAAATATAAACCTAAGTTTGACGTGGTCTCTGAAAGAATTACAAAATTTCCATTAGGCAGTACAGTAGTAACAACTTCTAGAACAATTAAGGAATTTGCAATAACGTTTATCTGCATTATAAATGCATTCCAAATGGTTAGTTTTCCCTCACCAAATTTAAATTAGAAGTAGTCTTTTTGCTGTTTTCAGAGTCCCAAACACTTGAATTTGAGTAGCTCAGAATCTGGGATAAATCAAAAGGTTTTTTTTTTTTGTTTTTTTTTTTAACTTGAGTAACTGTAATCCTGGATGATGGCATGTTGGCCATAATAGAGATCTTGTTTTACAAACATTGTTTAGAGGACCCAATATATAATCCAAGGAGAGATTAAACTCTGATTCTGTGGTAGTCCAGAACAATGTTAGTTTGTAACATCCTTAAGAGAAATTATTCTGGATGGTTTGTCATTGGGGGAGGGGATGATGTACACAAACTAGAGATCTTTGGAGTTACCTGGTGGTTTGTGGGAACTGTATGAACTGACCTTGAATCTCTTTTTTTTCTTATCTATATTTACTTTTTAAAGTTACCCAAAGTTCTTTTCATTCACATTCTCCCCTCCCCTTTAAAATATGCCTGCTGAAAAAAAATAGGCTGTTTTTTTTTTTTAAAGTTAGATGTTAGCACTAATTGGAATTCTAGTACTCATTTTAGGAAAATACTTGGTACATATGGTTATGGCTTTTTTTAATGAATACAACTTGATTTCTAGATATATGTACCCATTTTCAATATTTGCTTTTCTGTAAAAGAATTATGAGATTAGATAACACAAAATAAGGGGAATAAAGATGTGATTATATAGTAGTAGAAGGAGCCCTGATGGCACAACGGTTAAGCCCTCAGCTGCTAACCAAAAGCTCGGCAGTTTGAACCCACCAGCCCTTCCGGGGAGAAAAGACCTGGTGATCTGCCCCCATAAAGGTTTATAGCCTAGGAAACCCTATGGGGCAGTTCTGCTCTGTCCTACAGGCTCCCTATTAGTCGGAATCGACTTGACACACACAACAACATACAGTATTAGAGCAATCTTAAATGGATTTCTCTGAGTTAAACTGTTTATTTGACTAAACAAGTCGTTGTTAAGAGACTAGGGTGTTGCAAATTGACTCTGTGGTATCTCAATTTATTCTTAATAACTATGTCGAGAAATAGTTGTTCCTGGAGAACAAATGTACTAATGGGAAACTGTTTAAGATTGCTGTAGGCGTGGAATTCGTAAGCTGCACAGAGAAGACTGGTTGTTGCACATAATCCTATTCAATTTTTAATTTAGCTAAACTCTTCACCCTTTGGAAGAACTGATTCTGATTGGATGAAGAGGGAAACTCCATCATGTCTATAAAATATAATCTGCTGTGCTGTAAACTGGTAGGCAGGGGTCAGAGAGAGATTAAGAACTTTTTTTTTTTTTTTTATGGCATTGCATCAAGGAGTCTCAACTAGTAGCACTGGAAACCTGCATGGGTTGTCATAGCTTAATGTACAGTAGAGCTAGTTGTATGTACTGTACAAGTTGACAAGTGCTGGTCTGTTGCGGAAAGGTCTATTTCCACACCCTCAACTACATTGACTCAATGTTTTTACAGCAAGGATTCGTTGTTTCATTTTGTATGTTCTTGTTTCATTTTGTATGAAGGAATTTGTTTCTTATCTTCCTAAAAAACGGAATTAGAAGATGAGATTTTTTATCACTTTCCCATTGTTTTTGGTTCTGTTTTTGTGTTCGGCATGATCTGATCCAAAAAAAAT